GGGGGGGTGAATTTGATCAAAAAGTACATGATGTGCATATGTGCAAATATCACAATGAAACTCCTTTGTACAATTTATGCTAATGATTTTTAAAGAAAATGTCCAAATTATCCCTTTCAGGAAAATTACATCAGTACTGTGAGTTCCTACAAGACCACCAAGCTTTCAAGGTCTTTTCAGCCTTATTGGCCACATTCCTTCCAATCACGGAAATCTATAGAACTTTAAAGTTTTTTGGTTGAAGGGGGGTGAGAACGTTGAAGGAGGTAACAGTGAGCAAGATGCACTGTATTCATAAACTGCTTGGCTAAATACCAAAAAAATGGATGAAAGCTCTTTTGAGAGGATCAAATTGATAAAACTCCTCACTGAAGGCACAATATCTCTCCACTTGGGATCCTCCATGGTTGGGGTATGGAACAAGTACTGCAGTGAACAAATGCTCTCAACAGTCAGGACTCCAGCTACCAGGGTTCCAGCATAGCCACGTAGTCCTGAAGACCTGCCTAACAGCTCTCCTCTGCCCTGGAAGGCCCAAGTTGGGTTCCAGCCCTGAAGATCGGGCATATGACTGGAACTCTGAGTTCACTAACAAAGCCCTCTGTGTGCCTCTTGTGTCTTCCAGTTGACCGTCCTCCAATGGAACCTTCCCAATTTGTGTCACTCATCCTTAAATATCCAGACAAGATGGGAGTTAATGAGGTAGGAAAGTGCGTGTGTGTGTGTGTGTGTGTGTGTGTGTGTGTGTGTGTGTAACACATGCTTGTACATGTGAGCTGTGCAGTTGTTGTATTACGCAGTCTTTATTAAAGCACTCTCCCAAGCATCTGATTGAGAGCCAGCAATAACGATGTGGCTGCTGGAAGGCTCTGGAATCTTGAGAAAACTACTGATATGTTGTTTTGCCTCTATTCTATCTTTGATGAGGAGGGTCCTGGAAACAGGAGTTAATCATTGCATCAAGAAAAAGGAACTATTTCATAGGGAAAGTGAATATGCCAGGCTTTAGCAAACTCTGTATGGAAGGTAAGGGAAGAAGATATATGTTCTCTACTTGGAGGACACTGGGTTTTTTTCTACCAGAGTAGAGTGCATTGCTGTTGTTCCATTTAAAAAATGTTGGAAGAGGACAAGGAGAGAGAGAAAAAGAAATGTGTTCACAAATTCTGCTTTCTACAGGCAAGAGTTCGTAATAGCTTTTCTAAGGACCAAATTTACTCTGCAGTTTTCATTGTATCAAGAGCACGACCTAAAATGCAGCTCACTAGTAAAGCACTTGCCCGGGTCCTGGTGTCAAATCCCAGAAACACACATACACACAAGACAAAGAGAGAAAAAGGAAGGAAAGGAAGGAGAGAGGGAAGGAAACAAAGGAAAACCAGTGAAATGAACATGTGACAAAGTGTTGTACACCAGAGCCTGCAGAGCCACGACTACAACTCACATCACTGACTCCTTCCTTATGGTCTGAAGGTGTCCAGCAGTCCACACACTGAGACACAACTCTCTTTGGACCTTCGATAGGCAACAGTCCAGTATCGTTGGTGTTCATTGCCACTGCTTAATGTAAGGAAAACAATAACTGTAACACACATGGACTTGCACAAAACACAGCCATGGTTGCTGATGGAACTTAGAATGCTGTTGTAGCTCTCTCCTTTCCTGCAGCTTTCCAGTTCTCTAAACAAAAGGACCCACATGTCCTACATATATTCACTTTCTTCTTAAAATTACATTTCTTTTTATGTTTTATTGTAAAAATAGGGTTCAGAGGGGTTACAGTTACATGAGTAAGGTAATGAGTACATATCCTATAGAGCATTGTTAACTTCCTCCTTTGTTTTTCCTCTACCATTCCTTCCCTCCCCACCTTCCCAACTCCCCCTCCCCCAAGTTGTAAAGTTCATTTTCAAATAGTGTCTTGGACATCTCATTGTTACAACAGGTAAACCTATATCCTTATTTGAGCATTTTGTTATTTCCCTTCCCCTCCCCAAATTAGAAAAATGTATATACAAGATGCAGGACACTGACGTCAAATACAGTGAAAACCGGGGAAAGAACATACAAAAGAAACAAAAAAAAATCACATAGTACATTTTAGATACGTTAAAATCAATAGAAAGAAAGAAAGAAAGAAAAAACCCTATCTTGGGTTTCATTTCGTTTAACGTCATCTTATATGGTCATATATATGTATATAGCTTTTGACCTTTTCTGCTTGTCCTAGACATATACTAGTTATTTAGGGAAACTACGGGATCTATGTTTCTTTGGGACTGTCTTACTTCACTTAATGTAAGTTTTTCCAAGTATTTCCATTTCCTAACAAATGGGGCAATGTCATTCTTTCTGATGGAGGCATAGAATTCTATAGTATATATACACCACATTTTCTTGATCTATTCATCTACTGAGGGGCATCTGGGTTGGTTCCATATCTTAGCTATTGTAAATAATGCTGCAATAACATAATTGTGCTGGTAGCTTCAGTATAACCTTGTTTGTGATCGTTTGGTAAATGTCCAAAAGTGGGATTGCTGGGTAATAGGAGAACTCTATATGGAGTCTTTTGTGGAAGCTCCATACTGCTTTCCAAAGTGGTTGAACAATTTTACACTCCCACCAACAATGCAGTAGGGTTCCCTTTTGGCCACATCCCCTCCAGCATCTGTTGTTATTAATTTTCTTCATTTGTTCTAACTTGGGTGAGGTGGAATCTCAATGTTGTTTTGATTTGCATTTCTTTTATAGCTAGAGTAGTTGAGTATTTCTATTGGCCATCCTTATTTCCTCTTCAGAGACGTCTCTTTTTTAAGTCTTTAGCCCACTTATTTATTGGGCAGTTGTTTCTTTGAGGATTTGTTGTTGGAGGATTTAGTTTTTTGAGTTCTAAGTATATTTTAGATATGAGACCCTTGTCTGTTGTATGGCTAGTGAAGATCTTCTTCCAATTCGTGCGTTTTCTATCGATCTTGCTAGCTATGTCCTTTGTCATGGAGAAACTCCGCAATTTCATGCAATTCTATTTGTACAACCTTTCTTTGATTTGTTGTGTTTCTGGGTTACTACTAAGAAAATTTCAGCCTGTGCCAAGGAACCCTATATTTTCTCTTATTCCTTCCTGTAATGTTTTCAGGTTGTCTGTTTTGACATCAAGGTCTTTGATCCATATGGAGTTGATTCTGGTGCAGGGTGATATATAAGGATCTAGTTTTAGTTTTCTACTGCACCATTTGCCAAAGAGGCTGTCTTTCTTCCATTCTATTTTTTTAGCTCCCTTATCAAAGATTAGGTGGTTATAGGGTCTGTGGGTTCATTTCTGGGTCTTCAGTTCTATTCCATTGGTCATCAGGTCCGTTCTTGTGCCAATACCAAGCAGTTTTGATTACTATGGCTTTGTAATAGAGTTTGAAATTTGGTATTGATATTCCTCCAGCACTGTTCTTTCTGCTAAGGATTGTTTTTGCTCTCCATGGTCACTTATTTTTCCATGTGAATTTTTGGGCTGCTTCTTCTATTTCATTGAAGAAAGAGGTTGGAATATTGATAGGTTTGTAGATAGCCTTGGGAAGTATTGCCATTTTCATGATGTTAATCCTCCCAATCCAGGAGCATGGGAGGGCTTTTCACTTCCTAAGTTCTGCCTTAATTTCCTTTTACAGGTTTTTAAAGTTTTCATCGTAGAGCTCCTTCACTTCTTTAGTTAACTCCTAGATATTTTATTTTATTTTTTTGTGGGGGGTCCGGTCGTGGGGCCTGAACTCTGGGCCTGGGTGCTGTCCCTCAGCTCTTCAGCTCAAGGCTAGCGCTCTATCAGTTGAGCCACAGCATCACTTCTGGCTTTTTTCTTTTTGCTTATGTGGTGCTGAGGAATCGAACCCAGGGCCTCAGGCATGCAAGGCAAGCGCTCTACCACTGAGCCAACTTCCCAGCCCTGATATTTTATTTTTTTGTGGGGTTATTACAAAAGGAGTTGCTTTCCTGATTTCAGCTAAATTCATTGTTGGCACACAGAAAAGCCATTGACTTTTGAGGATTAATTTTATACCCTGCTACTTTGCCAAAATTTCGAATCAGCTCGAGTAATTTGGGAGTGGAATTCATGGGATTCTTTAAATACAAGATTATGTCATCTGCAAAGAGGGAGAGTTTTAACTTCATCTTTCCCTATTTGGATTCCCTTTATGTTTGCATCTTTTCTTATTGCTGTAGCTAGGCATTCTAATACTAAACTGAAGAGAAGTAGAGAGAGTGTACATTCTTGTCTCTTTCCTGAGTTTAGAGGAAATGGCTTTAGCTTTTCACCATTAAGTATAATGCTGGCTGTAAGTTTGTCATGCACAGCCTTTATTATATTGAGGAATGTTCCATGAATTTCTAGTTTTTCCAGAGCCTTCATCATAAAGGGGTGTTAGATCTTGTCAAATGCTTTTTCTGCATCTATTGAGATAACCATGTAGTTCTTATCCTTGCTCTTGTTAATGTGATGAATTATATTAATTGATTTTCATATATTGAATCCTGAAATGAATCTTGTTTGATTGTGGTGTATGATTTTTTTAAATAAGTTTTTTATTGTGAAAATATCGCACAGGGGGTTACAATCACATGAGCAAAGTAATGAGTACATTTCTTATCAAGCATTGTTGCTTCCTCCTTTGTTTTTCCCCTACCATCCCTTCCCTCCCATCTTCACAACTACATACCCTCCCACTCCCCATCCTCACCGCCAACACCTCCACTCCCCCCCCCCCCACTCCGCCTAAAATAAGTTTCAAGAAGGGGTCAAGCATGTCCATTGGGCATTTTGAATTTAATGAAGACCAAAGATCATTGGACAGGGATTTACCTCAGGCCATTCCAGGGTGGAATTAACTTTAAGGCTATTAGAGTCTGTCCTGTAATGACTAGGGACCTGGATTCTCACCAAGGACCCACCATCTGCCAGGCACCTCCCACTCCAGCCACATCCACCGGTGAGGAGGACCCTTACTCACTTCCCATCCACTGCTTCCACAGTCTTGACCTTGACCTTCTGCTGGTAGATTGTGTGCAGCATCCAATCCTGTCCGTCCTTTGTGCATTTCCAGTTGATCATGAAAATCTAATGTAGGAAGCCAAGGAGGGAGAAAAACACAAGGTACTTACATCTTATTCTTTTTTGAAAAGTTTAGTGAATGTCAAGGATCAAAGTTGCTGGTCAGCTAAGGATGAGAAACGACAGGGAAAACCGTAGTAAGGATGAGTAAGGATTTATACAAAATGGACTATTTTCAAAACAGGAGCTCTAATACTCACTGATAAACATGTTCTTCCTACTCTTGAAAAACAAACTTCAAAAAGTAACTCATCAAGAAGCTAAAGGCAAACTAAACATAGAGCACCAAGAGGAAGGAGACAATTGCCAAGTGGACTGTGTGTGTGTGTGTGTGCTTGCGCACGTGTGTGCATGTGTGTGTGCACACATGTGCACACACATACATATACCAGGACTTAGGCATTATCCCTTAGATTCTTTTCTTTTATTTTTTGTCAGTCATGGGCCTTGAACTTTGGGCCTGAATGCTGTCCCTCAGCTCTTCAGCTCAAGGTGAATGCTCTACCACTTGAGCCACAGCACCACTTCCGGTTTTCTGAGTGGTTTATTAGAGATAAGAGTTTCATGGCCTTTCCTGCTTGAGCTGGCTTTGGACAACGATCCTCAGATCTTAGCCTCCTGAGTAGCTAGGATTACAGGCGTGAGCCACTGGCACCCAGCTCCTTAGATTATTTTCTTAATGCTGGTGCTTTATCTATTGGGCCATACGTCCATTTCTGGCTTTTTGATGCTTAATTGGAGATAAGGGTCTCATGGACTTTCCTGCCTGGCTTGGCTTAGACTTCATTCCTCAGATCTCAGCATCCTGGATAGGATTAAGTTTAGGTGCCAACAGTACCCTGCTCAAGTGATTAATTTTATCATCAAAAGTTGAGGAGTTTATTCTCCAGTTTATTCTCCAGTTCTGCATTTGAAATCAGGGTTTTGTATTTGCTCTGTTCACTTGCTCAGCTTGCTTGTGTGGTTGGTGTGTTATCATTTAAGTCATACTTCCAGTCCAGCTTTTTGTAAGTTATTTTTCTGTTTTTGGAGATGGAGTCTCCTTGTTCATTTTTTGGAGATTGAGTGTGTTACTTTAATATATCTTCACCTGTCAAACCAAACTTGCAGCCATGGAGTAAAAATCATTTAGTCAGGCTGTATGTAATCCTTTGTTTGGGTTGCTGGATTATATTTGCCTGTTATATCCTTGATTTTATATCAGAATAATCCTGGCTTCATAGAACCAATTAGAATATACTCCATCCTGCTCTATTTTTTGAAAGAGTTTGTTAAGGATTAGTATTAATTCTTTAAATAGTTGGTAGTTCTCTAGTAAAGCTTTTTGGTTCTTTTGGGAATTTATTTTATCACTATCTCAAATTCTTTACTTGTTGTACACTTATTCTGAATTTCTATTTTTGTGTCATTGTATCAGTTTGTCCATTTCATCTCAATTATCTAACTTTGTTCATAAAATAACCCTTTCTACTTCTGCAATGTCAGTAGAGATGTCTTCTTTTCTAAGTTTAGTCATTTCATCCTAGTCTCCTTTTTAACTCATCAGTCTAGATAAATTATTTTCAATTTAGTAGATCTCAAATAACCATTTTTTGTTTTATTGATAGTCTTTATTGTTTTTCCTATTCCCTAGAATAGGAATAATATTATTTCTAATATATTTTGTTCTATTTCCTTCATTCTAATTACTTTGAATTTAGCTTGTTTTTGCTGGTTTCTTAAGGAGATTGGTTATATTATTTATTTGAGATAATCTTTCAATATGGCCATTCATAGCTATAATTAAACTTTTAAGTACCATAGTAGTTATGTAAACCATAAGTTTGCTATATTTCTTTTTAATTATTCAAATTATTTTCTACATTTTTAAATTTTTAACTCATTGAATACATAGGAGTATGCTATAAAACAGATTTGTGAATTTCCCATCTTTGTTATTGATTTTAAATTTCATTCTGTTATCCTTGGAAAATGTTCTTTGTATAATTTCACTCCTTTTAATTGCTCAGAGGCTGAGGAATGTATTGGAGCTCAGGAGGCAAATGACAAAATAGAACACTCAGAATTTGGGGGGCTTAAAAATCATTTTTAATTTTTAATTCTGAGTGCTCTACTCATTAGCTCAAGGACAGATGCCCCCTGCCCCCAAAAATAAACATACAGCTTCTTTCAGAAGCAGCTCCTGTGTTCATCCTCCCCTCTCACTGTCCACAGACACAGAACTGATTTTTGTCCTGCCTTCTTGGAAAGCTGAGGAGTGTATTGGAGCTCTGGATGCAAATGACAAATTAAAGTACTCTGAATTTGAGGGCCTTAAAACAAATGTTCCAGACCTACACCTGTAAGAGAAGTGGTTGCCACTCTTAGCTGTACTTCATCTCTTATCTAACTTGCTTTGTTTTGTCTTCTTATTCTCAAGTCAAAACATCCATATAATCATTGTTCTCTGGAGGGAGAGATGGACCTCTATGAGACTGGACACCTAGAAGTTACATCAGCCAATCCCCTCAAGGTAAAGATGCATAGGTACAGAAAAATCAAAGGGACATCTTCAAAGGCTAGAGTATCACTGGGAGTTTTTTATGACAAAATTGAGAGTTCTTGGCTGGGCACCCGTGGTTCACCCCTGTAATCCTAGCTATTCAGGAAGCTGAGATCTGAGGATCGTGGTTCAAGGCCAGTCTGAGCAAAAAAGGCTGTGAGACTCTGATCTCCAATTAGTCACCAGAAAATTGGAAGTGTAGCTGTGTCTCAAAGTGGTAGAATACCAGCTTTGAGTAAAAAAGTTCAGGGACAGCACCCATGCCCTGCGTTCAAGCCACATGATTGACAAAAAATAAAATTTTAAAAAAATGGAGAGTTCTTGTAGGCACTAAGTCTTAGTTTATAGGACCAAATGTCTGCATTTACTACTGGTAGACCTTCCTCAGAATAATTATTATTTTCTGGAGTTTGCTCTAAGCTCCAGATGTGATTACAGAGACAAAGAAAGTGGAGGGAAAAGGTGAGATTGATGGGCAGATCTGGGCCTTGGGTGCCTGAGTATTTCGAGTTCTTTCTGCCAGTGTTCACCAAGCATGGGCATAATAAAATGCCTGCCCAGTTCTTGGGGAACTTCTGAGGGGTTCTTCCTCCTGGATTTGTAAAACTTGTATCATTGCTTTGACAGATTTTTCTACTACCCAACCACTTCCAGCAACACATCTGTATTTGCCCAAGTGTTTCAGGACAGCTGCTTTGTCACTTCTTTTCTGTGTTTGAATTCTGTAAGTTTGGGGGGGAAGATAACTGTTAGAAATGAATCTACATCTGATCTACAAAAAAGTGGTTGTGTTTCTGTCAGGTATATGCTCCCTTGCAGGTAGTGACAGGATGGAAATGATGGGGTGGGAGAGATTTTATTTTAGTTATTAGAATTCCACGCTTTGTCTTGTTGTGGAGATGAGAAGCTTACTGTGGTGGCCTACAGGGGTTCTTGCTTCAGGCTGAATAGACTAGGTGTGGAGTGGGGAACAGCTCCCTTGAGAACTCTGTCCTTTCTCACTCCCCATAGTTAGAAATGGGTTCTCATCACTGTCATCTCCCAATAAGTGTAGTCCTTTTCAGTAAGAATGCAGCCATACATTTCCACCAGGAGAGATCAAGATGAAACCAGGAATGTTGTCTCTAACTGTATGAGTTCAATTACAAACTCAAAGAATAGGGAAGAACAATGGAAGGCTGAAATTGATCAAGATGCATTATAAACTGACGTGTTGAAAGAAAGCCCCTTGTACAACTACTTAAAGGTAATTTTAAAATGTTTTTCTTTTAAAGGTACACTGCTGATTAGATACCAGACTCTTTTCAGAGGACTGACTTCACACATGAAGGTAAACTGATGATGTGATCTGAGAATTCCCACTACAGGTCGCCCTCTGATTCACTAACCATCTCTCATCCTCCTTAATGGCATTATGCCTTGAGGAATTGGAAATTATTGGAAATTATTTGTCATGCATCATTTTATAAAGAATACTTAGTGAATGTTAAGCAAAATGAACAGAATAAGCCTTAGGGAGGAAGTTGAAGTGATATTCTCACTGAAAAGCTGCTCACACATTCATTGATCTCAAACTCAGAAGAATTGCACTAGGTCACAGATAAATTCACCACCAACCATTTGTCCAGAAACCACTTGCTATCCTGGCTAAGCCCAAACAACCCTGTCTTGGCCACACACTATTTTTCAATGAAGTAGAAATTGGTTTTGTAGAACAAAGTGTTTTCAAAGGTGATGTCACAAAAAAAGAACATTTCTCTCTTTGCACTGACTCCCCAGAGCAGAGACCCGGTGAAGACAGAATTAGAGTTTCTTTTGTGAAGACTTTGAACATAAATACCATATAACTGTATTCTTCTCCTTATTCGGCAGAAGCTGGTTCTGTTTACTGGGTGTAAGAGGTGAATCACCAGCCTTTGGTCTGGTTTTTAATATTTGGAGATTAATTTTTTTAATTTGGACAGGTTTGTTCTGGAACCCCTTCCACAGTCTTCAAAAGCTAGAATAAAGGTCACTCACCACTGTGCAATTGTGTGGGAATTGAGTCACCTTTTGCAACAGTGGTTTACAGGGCTGTCTCTAAGAGCTGACAAACTGAAAATAAGAGACCAGCAGCTCATGTGTAAGCATTCAACTCCACAGACATTTCACAGGTATTTAAACTTTCACTTTTAATTTCCTTTGTCTTTACAACAACTGATAACTGTACAAAATAAATGGAGAAACTTCATTGGGGGAAATATATAATATTTATGTTATATATATGATATATGTAATAGGTTTTCTGTGTGTCTGGCTCTTTTCTCTGTGTGTGTGTGTGTGTGTGTGTGTGTGTGTGTGTGTGTGTGTGTGTGTGTGTATGTGAATGCACAAATGCATGTGTTGGTACTGGGTCTTAGACTCAGGGCTTGCACTCTTCTTTGTTTTGCCAGTCCTGGGCTTGAACACAGAGCCTGAGTGCTGTCCCTGAGCTTCTTTTGCTCAAGGCTAGCACTCTAACACTTGAGCCACCCCACCCCTTCTGGCTTTTTCTGTTTATGTGGTACTAGGCAAGTGCTAGGCAAGCATTCAACCACTAAGCCACATTCCCAGCCAAGGGCCTTGCACTCTTGCTTGACTTCTTCCTCTTATGGCTGGCACCTTGCCACTTAAGCCACATCTCTGCTTCCAGCTTTTTTGATGATTAACGAGAGAAAAGTGTCTCTTGGGCTTGTCTGACAAGGCTGGTTTTGAACTGCAACCCTCAGATCTCAATCCTCTGAATAGCTAGAATTATAAGCATGAACCACCAGCACCTGGCTGTGTCTGGCTCTTATTCACTGAACAACCAAATGTAATTTTGTAATTTTGTAAGTACAAAATGATTAGAGTTCAGGCTGGGAGTGTGGTCTCGTGGTAGTGTTGCCTAGCAGGCATGAAGCCCGGGTTCAATTCCTTAGTACCACATATACAGAAAATGCAGCAGGTGGCACTGTAGCTCAAGTGGTAGAGCACTAGTCTTGAGCTGAAGAGCTCAGGGATGGCATCCAGGCCCAGCATTCAAGCCATATAACTGACCAAAAAGATAAAAATTAGAGTTCTAGAGTATGTTAGTAATATGTGATACCTCTGTACCTCCTCAGTATCCCTTTATCCCTGAAGACTCTTGAATATTCTTAAGTTTTTCTTTCTTTTATTCCAGTACTAGAGCTTGAATTTAGGTCCTGTTGTTGTTCAGCTTTCTTTTCTCTCTCTCTCTCTCTCTCTCTCTCTCTCTCTCTCTCTCTCTCTCTCTCTCTCTCTCTCTCTCTCTGAGAAACTTGTTTCTTAAGACTGACCTCTGAGCTGGGCACTGGTGGCTCATGCCTATAATCCTAGCTACTCAGGAGGCTGAGATCTGAGGATTGTGGTTCAAATCCAGCCCAGACAGGAAAGTCTGTGAGACTCTTATCTCCAATAAATGACTCAGAAAACCAGAAGTGGTGCTGTGGCTCAAGTGGTAAAGCACTAGCCTTGATCTGAAGAGCTAAGGGACAGCACCCAGGCCTAGAGTTCAAATCCCATGACCAACAAAAAAAAAAAAAAATACTAACCTCTGCCTTGAGTAAAGAAGACTTCCAATCAAGGGATCCCCAATCCTATAGTGGTTTTCTTTTATGTTCTTTTTTTTTTTTTTTTTTGTGGATCATGGGGCTTGAACTCAGGGCCTGGGTGCTGTCCCTGAGCTCTTTTTGTACAAGGTTAGCACTCTACCACTTGGAGCCACAGCACCACTTCTAGTTTTTGTGTGATTAATTGGAGATAAGAGTCTCATGGGAACTTTTCTGCGCAGGCTGGCTTAGAACTGTCATCCTCAGATCTCAGCCTCTTCAGTTGCTAGGATTACAGGAATGAGCCACTATACGTTAGTATTTTCTAAAAAGTAAAGGCATCACATAACCACAATATAATGACCAAAATCAGAAAATTAATTTTGATGCAGTATTGTTGGTTAATCTTATTCAAACATTGTATGTGATCTGAAGACATCCTCTATAGCAAAAAGAAAAATTATATACTTATTTGAAGATCATTGTACATTATAGTCTCATTCAGATAGTTACAGTAAAAATGCTCATATTGAAAAGATCCTGAGCAATTTTGTAGTAAAATCTTGTATGCAATTTTTTTGGAAAGATTATTTCAGAATTTTATTAGTAACTAAAAAAGAAATTCAACTACATTTATTATTATTTATTTCTTAAGCCAGATAACTAAATTCAAAAGAAGCCAAAAGATTTTCCTATTTTATTCTCACCAGAAAACTTAAAACAATGCCCTAAGACTTAGTTCCCTGATGCTTCCTTGTGTATTTTTCGACAACTATGGAACACAAATGACTTCCTGAATTCAGACCTCTTCCCCTTCCTTCCTTTCCCAGTCCCATCCAGTACCATTCTTTATTTTTTCATTTAACAACATTTTTAAATGGAATACAGGTTAGTACTTTTGACTATTGGAGGAGCAGCATTGTGTGATTCTACCTTCTTGAAAAACAGTGTAGAAGCCAACACTAAGGCCTTTTTATTTTGCTCAGAGAAAGACAAAGCTAACTGCTATCTGATTCCTAACCCTGCATGGGACTTCCCTTAAAATTCCCTTAGAATGCGTTTGTATGGCCATTTCCCAAGGTCAGGAGATGATCTTAAGTTCTCTCCTAACTTTCACGTTGATTTGGCATTCTTACCTGTATCTTGTAATATCCATGTTTTTCTCTGAAGATTTGGTATGCATAGACAAAATGTTTCTGTGGAAAGAGGACTTTGTGAATCATAATGTTGTTCTATGACAATCTATGTAACAAATGCCATTGTATTTTCTATGCAATATATTTTTTTTTCTATCTCAGATCTCCATGAGAAATTGAGGATCTCAGGCCCTTTCATCTGTGGGAATTTGTAAGACAAGGGGTTTCCAAACAGGGCGCTCTGTTGTGATGATGGAAGTCTAGGCTCTAGCAAAGAGGAGAAGAAATTTACATCTTTTTGGTCTTGGTCCTTCACTTACTTCCTTTACTTCGGTCTCAGTGACCCATGGTCTTCTAGTCTATTGATTTCTCCATTTTTTCATGGTTCCTTCTACTCTAGCCTCAATGGTGATGGTGTGTATAAAAGATAAATGTGTATGGGACACAGTTTGGTTTAGAGTTCTCCACTTTGATTCTCGACTTTAGGATGGTATGAAAGCAACATACAGTCAAAAATCATGCTTCAAGATGGGTATGGTGTTCCTACTGTAATAGCAGCAATCAGGAGTCAGAAGTAGGAGGATCATGAGTTGAGGCCAGCCTGAGAGACATATAACACCCTGTTTAAAAAAATTATATAGTTATATACTGTGCCTCAAATTTTGAATTAATGGCCAATTTGATACACTGTTCCACCTGCCCAATACTGGGCATTGGTAATGAGCCACAGCTCCCAGTCATAATCATAAGAGTAAACAACAGTGCTCTATAGTGTGCTGAGTTGTGGTGTCCGGCAGGTTAGATGTATTAAGAGCATTTCTTTTTTAAAAAATAATTTTTTTATTGTGAAACAAGAGTATGTCTTTATTACACTTTCTATTTCTATGGCATTACTTCTAACACCCCATTGTAAGGACATACCTTCTGTTCCTTTACTGTTCTTTATTCAGTTAGCAAACCAGAACCCTGATTAAATCCAGCTCTGCCTCTGCTTGACTAGGGATAAACAGCCACATAGATTGGTTTTAACATAATGAAGACACTCAGACAGGCTCTTAATGCTTCCAGGAAATCATTCTCTTTCTCCTAAAAAAGATCTTATTCCTCGTCCTTTCTCCTTAAACCCCATCATCTGCCTTCCCATCCACATTCTTAATTGATGACATCTCTGAGAAGATGAAAGCAATTGATAGACAATTCCCAGTCAACACCGTACCTCCAGCATCTGCATTCATTCTACAGTTATTATCATAGGAGAGCTGTGCATGCTGCTCTTCAGAGCTAATCCCTCCTGTCCCCACTGGAAGCCCATTCCCTTTCATCTGTTCAAGGACATATCCTTCCCTCTGTCTCATCATTAATTATTATTCTTAACACAAGAATAGTCCTAGATAGTCCTTGTAAAACTGTGAATCAGATCATGCCAGCTCTGCACAAAAGCCTAAGCTTTGAATAGTAGGTCAATTTTGGAGAAAAAAACACACATGGGAGTGTATTCATATGGTGGTGGTCCTGACTTAATAGATCTTAGGGGTTTTTCTTAAATAAGGCTATAATTGAGATGAGATATTGGTTCTAAGGCAGAAGAAGGTATTAATGGCATACAGTAGCTCGGTAACATAGCCAGGTGTGTGTGTGAAAGCTCCCTATATGAGAGATCCGGCAGAGCGGATTGATGGGGAGGGGAGGCAAGGGGTTGTTTGCTAAATGCTAATATTTCTATGTGGAAACAGGTAAAACTGGGTTCCTACTCCATACTTGAAGACTTAATTATAGAAAAAGCACAATATGAAACTTGGAGAAATAAATGTAAGTGAGCAACTTAATTACCTCAAGTGAAGAAACATTTTTACCTCACAAAAATACAAGTCATAGGAAAGAAGAATCAATTCAAATTCTTAAATATTACAACTTCTATTTACCTACATATATATTAATATATACCATCAGTAAAATAAAATATACTATTAATAAAGTGGAAAACTCCATAGATTGAGAGAAGAGAATTATCACACTAATACAAAGTGTACAGTAAGGAAAAGACAAAGAGAATGGCAGAAAACATGAAAAGATGTCACCATTTGCCATAAATCAGGCAAATACTCATTAAACAACCATTGGACCTCGCTTTCTATCAGACTGGAGGAGATGCAAGAATTTGCTAATGCAAAATACAGGATCACACAGGATCACACAGAAAATGTAACAAACTATGGATGGCATTATAATGTCTTTAATAATAACTGCACCACATTTTAGAAAAAATTGAGATGCATCCAAATGTCATTGAGATTATGATACTAGAACAAAATTAATAATGTCAACATTTTATTGTTTACTGAAAAGCAAACATTTTGTGAAGCTGAACATTAAGTCTATTTAAAATAGTTTAAAAAAAACCTAAGTCTAAAAATCAAGTTAAAGTATAAATGAAAAACTACACATAATACATCATTTTAATACAAAGAATTTTTATACTGAACTAAGTACACTATTAACAATAAACTCCATAAAACTTAATAAGTTCTTATTAATCATGAAAAATCCATACTAATAGCTTTTTTCAAATGTAATTTTTAAGTGAGGCAAGTTTGAGAGAGAGACAGACAGAGATACAGAGAGAGCAGAGCTCTAGCCTGTAATCCTAGCTACTTAGGAGGCTGAGGTCCGAAGACTGCTTGGACAGGAAAGTCCATGAAACTCTTATCTTCAATGAACCACTAAAAATATAGCTGTGATTCAGGTACCTGCAGCAAGAAAGCTCAGGGACAGTGCCCAAGTCCTGAGTTTGAGAGAGAGAGAGAGAGAGAGAGAGAGAGAGAGAGAGAGAGAGAGAGAGAGAGAGAGAGAGAGATTTCTAGGTCCTCATGCAGAAAATAGTTTAAGACTCTTCAAATGCAAATTTTGAGGTACAGGGGGAAAAAGGAAGGAAATTGTTTAAAGGGCTGGGGAAGGGGAAGGAGGGGAGAGGAAGAGCTGAGTGGTAGAGTGAAGAAGGCCAGGCTTCTGTGGTCTCCTTAGTAAATTCTGAGGATCCCATTTTGTTGTTATTGTAAGACCAGGACTCAAACTTGGTACCTGAGATTTTGCTCACTGGCTGGCGCTCTACCTACTGATCCACACCTCCAATCGTGAAGATTGTAGGGTTGTTCGAGAAGCTGTTTTCACTCACCTTCCTTGGAAAACGGCAAGGATATAAGTACAGGGCAACCACAAATACTTCTCTTTGATTGTTCACCTTGTAATATTCCATCATTTCCTCTGCAACTTTGAGAAGAACTTTTGGGAACATTTTGGAGATTTACAGTTGATATCATTGTGTAGAGTGCTAGTTACAGATTTTGTTACGGAAGTCTTTAGATTCCAATTGGTTACTGACTGGTCATTGTCCAGAGACAAAAAGAAGACATGTAAAAGTCTCACTACTGTCATTTTCTTTTAATCACCCTTCTGAAGTCCAGCATTTTATTTACCAGATTAGAATTTTACCCCTTGATCTCACTTGTGACCCACACAACATCAGGCTCATTCGGCAGATTCTGAAGTAGTAAATATCAAAAGCCATTTTATTTTCTTATTTTTGTGCCTGTAATGGCTTGAACTTGGGTTCCCCTTGCTTATTTCCCCTCAAAGCTGGCACAGTTGAACCACACCGCTACTTCTAGATTTTTGCTGGTTAATTGGAATAAGTCTTATGGACTTTCTTGTCCAGGCTGGCTTTGAACTGCAAATCTCAGAGCTCATCCTTCTGAGTAGCAAGGATAACAGGCACGGGTACTAGTACTATTTTAGATAGCCACAGACTCAGCTTTCCCTCAAAAATGAGATTCTGGGACATCTACTCAGTTACCCAGTTTGGGACAACAAAAAGAAGTCAGATTGGGGCTGGGAAGGTGGCTCAATGGTAGAGCGCTTGCCTTGCATGCCTGATACCCTGGGTCTGATTCCTCAGCACCACATAAGCAAAAAGAAAAAAGCCGGAAGTGGCGCTGTGGCTCAAGTGGTAGAGTGCTAGCCTTGAGCTGAAGAGCTGAGGGACAGCGCCAAGCCCAGAGTTCAGGCTCAACTACTGGACCCCCCCCCCCAAAGAAAAAGAAGTCAGATTGCACTCCTGTTATTGACCATCTAACCTGTTACAGAACCCAATCACAAGAACCTAAAAATACCTGAGGAATCACTCAAATGGTAGAATGCCAGCTAACAAGCACAAGGCACCAAATTTCAACCCTTGTACTGGAACAAGAACACCTTTGGAATATAAAGCCCTGTTAGCATGAGGCAATTGGCCACCAGGCCCACACTCTCCTACATCAATGTGGAACAAGTAGTCCAAATAAGGTAATAAGATGCCTAGTTGCTATTATTCTGATGATCTCCAATGGCCAATACAAGAAGCATGACCTAAAGAATGTTCACTCTCCAGGTATGAAGATTGCAAGGTTAGAAACTGAATCCTTGAATCTTCAGAATACTGGGCATAGCCTTTAGAACTGTGCATAGTCCTCAGGCTAAGTGCATAGATGAGTCATATGAGATTGGCTCTATGGAAAACAGCTGATTTTTTTATGAAGACTTGTGCTTCCCCAATTCCATAGCTGCGAAACAGCTGCTTGCCACAGGCCACTGAACCAGGGCAGAGGAAGATGTGACTTCTAACAGTGTTGAGGCAACAGGACACCTTAACCCACCCTGTCCATCCCCACTCCTGAAATTCATCATACCCCATTCAAAGTCTGGTTTCTGTTATCAGCAACAACCAGAGCTTAGGAGAACAGAGGTTGTAGATGACCAAATGGGGTTATTCTGGTGTTCCAGAGGTGGCTCCTACCCCCAATATCTATTCTAAGCCTGGGCATAAAGTGTCCTGGGCATAGTGATATCACTAAACACACACTAGGAAAGCACCTCAGAAGCAACCAAGTTGAAGTTCAGTGTTTTGAAGACAAGAAAAGTACTTCTCTCTTTTTTTTGGAATTTTATTTTCTTCTGAATATTCAGATAAAAGAGATTTTATATCTTTCAAAACGCTGACTTAAAATGAATATAGTCTAGAGTTTATA